GAAGTTATTTATGTCTTGGTGATTCTTCTTTTGGGGTCTATCTTGTCTGGAGCTCATTTACCTTCTTGAATGCATATCTTCTCATCTTTCATGATATTAGGGAAGTTTTCTTTCAACAACTCTTAGACAATATTCTGTTTTTTAAAAAAAATTTGTCTCCCCCTGTTCTGGAATTCCAATTACACACTATCCTCTTGATAGTGTCCCACATAAACCTTAGATTTCCCTTGGACGTTTTTATTCCTTTTTTGGGGGGTTTTCCTCTAACAGATGAGCACTGAGAGCCGTGTCTTCAAGCTCCTTAATTTACTGAGTCCACTGATTCAAATAATTTCTTTTCCCTTTCAATGTATTATCTACTTCTGAAGTCTTATATGAATCTTCTTGCTTTCTACTTGCTGTTTTTGTATGGTTGACGATTTTTCATTTTGTCCATCTGTTTAGGGTTTTCCTGAATTCGTCTACAACGTTGCCTGTGTGTTTCCCGATTTCATGTACAGGCTTCTCTATCATTCTCTCCATCTGATGTCGGGCCCTAGATACCATTTGTTATTCGGGACACCCATTTCTGGTATTATGTTTTCTGACTGTATTTTGGTTACTTGTTTGAGGTGTTCTGTCTTGTTTCTTCATGTAAGATGAAACTGACTATTGTCTCCAAGACACTGTGGTACCCCAGGATTTATATTTAACTGATGACTGTACGGTGCTCGCTGTCTGTCTAGCGTAGTTGCAGGCAGCTGGGTCTGCTGCTGGTAGCTGACGATGGTTGACGGGGGATTCAGGACTGGGTGGTGGGGCATCCTCAGTGCGTGGAGCCATAGGAGGGAGGTACAGATGCGGGTGGGCTGGATGGGTGCAAATACTGTCTACCAAAACCAAACAACAGCAAGAAATATCTAACTAGCGTCCAGAGTAGGTGACGGTGTGCCTGATGCCCAGCCCCGGGCGGGGCAGAGGCAGAAGAGTGAGCTGCGTGGGTGAGTGTGCAGACTGGCTACACCCCCAGCTGGCATGAGGAACAGGGAGCACCACGCCTCCTTCGCCATCAACTTCTAGAATGAGGCCTCGCCTGCAGTTCGCCGTATCGACCAACAAACCAACCGGCCAAAGCTCAAGATGTCTGCGTCGGCCCAGGCCCGCCGGCCTGCCCTCCAGTGCAGCTTCCTCTCTCATCCCGCCCTCAGTCCCCCGTCGGTCGTGTCCTGTGAAGCCCACTGTTCCCGGACCACCACTCACGTCTTCTACTTGGGCCTTGGTGCAGAGGGTGTACTCACGTGTCTGCCTACTCTGCCATCAAGCTACCTGACCTGAAGCATGTTAGCACACCTCAACTAGTCTTTGCCCCACACTCTTGGGAGCCACCACATAGCTCGCAATGCGCTCACCACTGCTGGGAGGGGCGGTGGAGTGGTGGGACACAGCCACCTACAGAGCTTGTAACAACCAGGAACCACTGATCTCCTGCTCCTCACCTGGGCCCTCCCGTAGCAGGTCCTTGTCCAAGCACCTGCACTGGGGTTAAAGGTGTTCCTTGTTTTGTTCCTTTCAAGACTGTCATGTTTGCAACAGGAAATGATAAGAGGACAAAGAAGGCAGTGTTTGAACCATCCTTTTACAGAGCGGGTATGACTAGAAACTTTTTGTGATGTTTTCTCTCCATTCAAACAAGTAATGACAGGTTGGTATGCGATCTCGGGCAGGGCAGAGGTGCAGGGCTCTGGGTTTACCTGTGTGTTCTGTGTGGGAATCTGCAGCAACAGGGCCAGTGCGCTGAAGTCAAAGGTTTCATCTAAGGCCACAAGTGCGCCATGCACGCCGCTCTCTAGGAGGTTGTTTGCATATTCTTTGAGACCGATGGACAGGATCCAGCGGATCACGCGATCGTTGCTCCAGACAAGTACGTCTGTGGGAGAAGACAGTGATGGTAAGAAGCATCACAGAGCTGCCCCTGCCCGCGGGAAGAGGATCCCACCCTGGTCCAGGCCTTCCCCCAGCCCCATGGGACCCTTCCATCAGATCTGACACTTCAAGGGAACCCAAGAGGGGTGGTGTCAGTAGGGAAATTTTGCTTCTAGACAAGAGGAAATGAGAAGGACCCAGGGACAGCTGAGAAGCTGAGAATCTACCAGCACCTTTTTCACATCTGGGTGCTGAGCGAGTCAACTCCATGCCCACTCTCCATCTGGAAGCCCACCTCTACCTTTCTCACTTTGATATTCTCCATCATATAAGGAGTCTGGTGTGGCGCCCTGGGTTAATGCTCCAGACTGAAAAGCTGTTTGAACTGCAAGGCTGGTGGTTCAAACTCACCAGCTGCTCCTCAGAAACCCTACACAGGGTTGCTCTGGGTCGGAACTGACTTGACAGCACTTCACAACAACAACAACTCATGTAAGTTAGTAGCTTATGAAATTTGCTATCTTAGAGATCTAAAATCAGTCACTTCGTAAACATACATACAAATGATCACCGATCACTTGCAAACATGGCTTTCATCAAGTAGAAACGGACAGAACCACAGTTCGCCTCTAGTGCTCTTTTCTGTGTAACAGGACACGTGTTGTACATAGATGTCAGACAGTACTGCTATGGCATCACAGAACCCTTTCTAGGCTGACTGCCTCTGAAGCCAGTGCTTGCACGACTCTAAACCGCAGCCCCCTTCCACTCCCCAGAGAAGTCTGCGCCCTTCAATTTACATCAGAACCGCAGTTTCGCATCATTGAAGGCCTCAAAATCATGCCTCTTTTCCATGTTCCTTGAGTTTGGGAACAAAGAAGTCTGAAGGCGTGAGACCAAGGTGGTAGGGCGGATGGGGTCAGGCTTCCCAATGAAACTCTCACGGGGTAGCCCACCGCTGGCACGGGGAAATTCCTCAGCACCATTCTCCTGACCTTTTCTCACCGATGCAGCGTTTTCCATTTTCTGAAAGCTTCCTGTGTCCTTTGAGGAAATCTATCAAGACGACTTGCTTGGGAGCCGTAACCTCCCGAGCTGACCTCTGTGTCTTGAACTGAAGTGGCCCAGCAGAGCCCCTCGGAAGCCACTACCCTGACTGCACCTTCTCTCTGATGGCCCCCAGTGACACACACAAGGTGTCTTCCTGACAACTTGCTGGCAGCCATCCAGTGAACCGTATGTGTTGAAACAAGCTGTGTATGAGCTGGAACCCCAATAGCAACACTTTTTGACTTACCCACCCCCGACCTTGTTTTCTGACTGAAACACCTCTCCCTGCCTTTCTGCTGAAGCCCCGCTCCCCACCCAGGCCCCATCACGGGAGAGCGGGCAGCAGGACCCTCTGTGAGAACAGCCCCACACAACCACAAGGCCTTGTGACGTCCTGGGGAGAAGGCTCCGCTAGAGACGCTTCAACTGCAGACTGAGGGCGTCAGCTCACGTTGCCTGGCCCCGTCCTGTGCTCTCCACACTTGGTGGGAGGGGGAAGTGGCGGAGGGCCCTGGCCTCTGGGAAGCAGGCGTGCGCTCAGCCAACGGAACAGAAGATACTGGCCTTTGACTTGGTTCTGGCTTTCTTCCCTTTTCCTTTCCAGTTCTTTCCGGTCGTAATTGAGCCTGCGCAGGCACATGATTCCACACTGGAAACTGTTTCTGTTTAAACACAAATAAATAGAAAGCTTCTTCAGAGACGGGGCAGTTAGACATCCTTGATGTTGGTCAGGAGGACAGAACGTGAGTCCATCTACCTGTGAAAGCTGTCCACCATCTTCAGCTGGCCCCGCAGGTCCTTCTTGGTCAGGTGGTCCAGCATCCTGGCGTCCACAAGGCACTCCATGAAGTAGCTGCGATACTGTGGCAGGCCCAGGCTGGGCAGCCACTCGTTACCGATCCACTCGTGGTTCATGTCCCCATATGCCAGCGTCTGTTTGCAAGAAACAGGGAAGATTACTCTTGGGCAAATGCCCCTGGCAGTGGTCACAGGGGCAGCTTTGGGCATCTTTACACTGGATGTTTCATCTACTGCATGTTCTCCAAGGCTGACTGACTGGCAACCACTTTGTTCTTTTTCATCCAAAATAACCTGATCCGATATTTGCTAGCTTTTCAATGTCAGTAAAATTTTAAACAAAAAGGAAGCAAACCACTAACATCTAAGACTCATTGGTGCTTTTAAATTGAACGGATTTACCAAACCACAAGGACTATGAGCGATTACAGACTTCTTTTGAAAGAGTTTCTGTTATAGCAACATAACAAAGAGTGAGCACGGCTCATGAACAAGTTTGAAGGAGCAGCACTGCTTACATCCATCCGCTCAGGAGAAACATCTCTGGCTGGTTTCTCATGCAAATACGCCCCCATCCCGCAAATGCCCTAGACAAAATAGCGATGAATTTCAAAGTCAGGAAAGGAATGAAAAAAGTCTGAAAACAGAGATACACCAAACAACAACTGAGAGAACCGAGAGCTAAAGTAGACTGCTGCGGGGTAACCCCTCTGCTGGGGGACGACTGGACAAGCCAGCTGCTCCAGAAGATGGACGTTCCTGTCAACCAAACTGACCCAACTGGCACTTAGAGCTCCCTTGGCTCCAGGTGAACAGGGACGTCCATTCACAGAGACCCACGAATCTCAGTACATCCAGGGATAGAAACCACGCAAAGGATATGCTCTGGTCCCGGAAGCATTAAACTAGGAGTCATCAACTTAAAGGTAGCCCCAAAGTGCCCCAGTAGTCAGAAGTTACAAGGAAACTGCAAAATAGTTCAGCTGAATGGAAGGGACAACACAATACATCTACCATGCATGGGACGCTGCACCAGCAGTGTTTTGAGGGTAATTTATAACATTAAATGCTTATTAACATTAGAAATGAACAAAAGGCCCACATCTACAAGTTAAGATTCTACCTTAAAAAATAAGAAAAAGGTCAAATGAAATTCAAAGCTAGGCTAAAGAAAGCAAGACACCAGGAAAGTCAGCAAAGCAGAGCAAACCTTAGAGAATAATCAATGAAAATCTGGTTCTCGGTAACTATCAGCACACTGGCAGACCTGTAGTCAGTCTACTCCAGAGAAAAGACAGAACACAAAGGACCCAGTCCTGCCAACCCGGAATGAAAGGGGAGCTATCACTACCCTGACAGACCCGCTGGCCGCAGCAGTTTACTCAAGACAAAAGACAAGACACAAACGATCAAATCTCCTCTGTCCAGAATGAACAAGCCCTGAGCGGATAAAAAGGGAACATGTAAAAACGCTTCAAACCACTATGCTGAAATGGACAAACTCCGTGACGGACATGGACTTCCAAGGCTCACATGCTCAAAAGCAGATAACACAAATTACCTTGTATCTCTCAGACTGGAATTTGTACTTAAAAATCTAGCCACACAAAAAACACCCCAGACGGTTGTCTTAGCGATTGCTTTGATACCAAAACCAGACAAAGATAAGAAAAGGACACACCAGTATCCCCCAAGGGCACAGACACAAAAACTTTTAACCAATTATTAGCCAAGGAAACCAACAAACTCTGTGGGGTTTATTCCACAAAGTCCAGGTGGTTCAACGTCTGGAAATGGATGCAAGTCACCCCACTGACACCCAGATGATCATCCCAGAAAGATACAGTAAAAGCACTGGAGACACTCACAGGGCTCTGAGGCAGCTGGGGATGAAGGAAGCTGCTTCAACCTGAGCAAGGGTGTCTGCCCAGAGCTGGCACCACCCACTGGGGGGTCAGGCTGCTCACTGCTGCCCTCCAGAAGGCCAGGCACAAGGAAAGGATGTCCATCCTCACCAGAGGCACCAGACAAACCAGAACGAGGCCCATGAATCGGAAAAGAAGCCAGCCAAGTTCACCTGCGCAGGAAATGGATCTACAAAAGAGTCCTTCAAACTAGTGATGGATACAAAGCCAATACACAAAATGGAGCTGTCCTCCCCCACACAACGCACAACTGGAAACTGAACAACCATTTATGAGAGTGTCCTAAAACGTGACATCATTAAGAGAATATCAGTAACATAATTTTAACATGATTTGTCCACTGAAAAAGGACACACACATCAGAGAAAGGTGCCTGGCGTTCTTCAGCTGAGGCAGGCTCAGCTGCATTCCCCAAAATTTTGTAGTCACGTTTCGGGGTTCCTGGAAACAGTAACTCTCACCGACCGCTACATGCGGTTTGCAGTGACAACCGCCATGTAACTGATGGTTATTTTGTTCCAACTCCCACAAGATGCTCCAAGTCTAACAAAACAAAACGGTCCCGATTTTCTCGAACCTACCAGGCCAAGAAAACAAACCGCTCTGAGTCACTGTCCAGATACCCAATGATATCACCATGGTCGGGTTGCTACTGCATGCTTCACTCGATACTTCCAGTGTTGAGTATCTGGTACTGTTTTCTTGCTCGCTACGTGTTCTTAAAAGAGCACAAAAAGCAAAGAAACAGTCTAGAGAATTCCATGGAAGCAGACCACGTTCACTTGTGTTTCAGTAAGTATACGCTTGCCACGGGTAGCTGATAAGGTTCCGCCTCAGGAGACCCACCATTCTCCTGGGCTACCATGGGGGCCTCGGGGGCTAGCAGGGGTGCCTGTTGCAACAGTATCTGTTCCCATCACTGAGAAGGTAGTCCCCAGTTCCAGCTGTGTGACTGTGAGCGTGGTCCCAGCTGTCCTGGTGCAGCGTGTGTGACCAGCGGCCAGAACAGGCCCAACACAGTCCATGGCCACTAACCCTCAGAAGGCCACCCCACTGCCACGGAGCGGATGGTGACTCCCAATGAGCGGGCCTGCGCACACAGAGCTGCTCCCTAGGACAGCCGGGACCGCCATCTCTCTGGGGCACGCAGCCACTGGCCTGGAGAGGCGGCAGAGACGACCAAGTCAGCAGGAGCGGGCCCCACGGAATGCTGACAGGCACCTGACTCTTCTGCTAGAAAGGTCACAGCGGCTGTCCTTCAGGGGCTCAGTGTTAAGCACTCGGATGCTGACCCACCAGCTGTGCTCCCCCAGAGATGGCCTGGGCAGCCTATGGGCACTCCTGCTCTGTCCTGTGGGCTCGCTGTGAGTAGGACTCAGCTCAACAACAACAGGATACTTTAGAGGTAAAAACTGAGAAACAAAGAGTTTTCAGCTATCAACCAGGAAAACCAACTGAAAGTGGGGGTGTCTTTCGGATGCATGATTAATCTTCTGCGGTCAGAGCGCACCGGCCATCAGTGCGAGCCTGGAGAAGCATCGCCTGCCGAGGCTTGGCCCACGTCTGTGGCTGTGGGCACGCATGTGAGGCCATTACTGGGCCCTCCTATAGCTGGCAATGTGTCAGGGGTGCCGGAAGGCGGGGCACAGCGTCTTGCGAATGAAGACTTGGGGAGCTGAGAAACCACGTGTCCATCAAGCAGGAAGAGACTGAGTTTCGGAGAATTTGTTATAAAGAGTCCCCATTAGTGAGACACCCACAAGGCCAGTGTCTCTGCTCAGAAATGTATCAGCCATGGTTTTCCTGTCAGCGGGCCTTGTCACTGAAGTCCCCTCCGGCAGGGCAGGGAGTGTCACGTCAGGAGCGAGACTCTGTAACATCATCCTCCAAGCAGAGCCACACTAAGCAAACGTTCAAAATTGTCCATGAGACGCACTCTTTGCATTCCTGCTCTCAACTCCTTCCCAGGCTCTGGAAACGCCCACCAGGGGGAAGGGCAAGGGTTGCACAGGTCAGTAGGACTCCTCAAGCCACTACGTCTAGTACATTTAGTGAAGGTAATAGAAAGTCTCCAACCTGAGCCCAGCTGCCCTCCGCATCGTCCTGACGTTACGTGGTTAGGGATGCAAAAGAACACAGCTGTTAGTATCCGTGAAGGTGGGAAGTTAGCAGTTAAGAGGTCTGCAGTGGGGGTGCAGCTTACCTGAGTAAACCACTTAAAATAACAAACACGCACAAAACAAAGCGTCATGCAAAATGCATGCCAACAACACTCCCCATTCCTCATGCAAGGAGCAGACTTGGGTGCAGGCACCCCGTGGATGGCGGCACTGGGCTGCACCGTCCCTCCTGAAGAATAGCTCGGCTATGTCTGCTCTACGAGCGAGCACACTGCAGGCCAGCTCGACTGCCATGAAGGACGCACGCGCGTCCACACCAGCCCTTAGGGGACACTGTTCCTGAACTCTGTTCTTCTCCCAACCCCAAGGCAGAGCACCCACATGTGGGTGGGTGAGGAGGGTGCTGAGAGCCCAGACTAACCGTTTGAGGCGTGGCCGCCAGCGTTTCCATCTCCTCGTGTGTTAACCAGACATTTCCTGTGGTCTATGAGGACCCAGGTGACCGTCCAGTCCAGGCCGAGGGAGCAGTGAGAGAGAGGAAAGGTGGCAGATACATGAGGTGGGGGGGGAGGGAGGGTACAGCGTTTCACTTCAGTGTTCACACCCCCGCAGCACCTCACCACACACACAACACACACAGACTGTATCAGCGCCCCCCAGGGTCACTGGACCATCACTATCACAGGATAAGTGCCAGAGCCTATGCACCCCCCCACCCCCAGGTCACGCGCTCTCCTCCCTACATCACCACTGTACTGATAGCATCACATCAGGGCTAGCGCTCATCCCTCCCCATGGGCACTGTGTGCGGCCAGCACCAGGGAGTCCTTGAGCTCGGCTCCACGCACCATAGCCCCCCACCCATGGTCACTGTCCTGATACCACAGCCCGCCCCCCTGTCACTGTCCAACACCACAATCCCCCCCAAGGTCACTGTCCAATACCCCCCTCCCCCACATGGTCACTGTATTGTCAACACAGGAGTTTTCGAGCCCCCTCCCCTCCCATATCCCTGCACTGTCCCCACCATAGGACTTCTAGAGCTTACCCCCCTCTCTCCCGGTCCCTCAGGTCCAGAGCTAACCCCTGCCCCCTCCCCACCCCCATCTTCCCAACAGAGACACGTCAGAAATTAAAGGAAGAAAGTACACTTTCTCTTCTGAAATTAAAAACAAGTCTCAAGTAACTGCTCAGAGTGTTTTTGCCCACCCAAAGCACAACGACAAAGAACAAAAATCTCGCTGGGCATTATGGTAACCCTGGTGACTAGAGCCACCTGGCCGTCTGCTGCGGGCGTCTCAGGAGAGCTCAGGTGAGGTCTGAGCCTTGCCTGGTGCTGGGTGAGCCGGGCTTAGAGTTTAGTCACCACGGCGGGCACTCAAGAGGAGCTGGCTTGTACCAACTGTGGGGACACCTCTCCCGCTGCAGTGCCTCCGGGACCACTGTCCATGAGACCACTGGGGCGGGAAGGGAACCGGCTAGGCAGAGACCCATCAGCCTAAAGAAGGACAAAGGCCTACTGGCCACTACCGTGGTGCTGTCACGGAAAGACCGACAGACGAGCAGCAATAGGGAGCCTTCAACAGTCCGGTCGGGAGTCTGCTTTCTCCCCAGAGAAGACTCAGCTCGGAGGAGCTTGGGAGCCAGCCTGCTCCTTCCTCCCAGCGCCCATGGGTGCACTCTCAGAGCCTTTAACTTTCTGAACTCAGAGACCCTCTTGCAGGAGTTCAGGTCAGACACAGTACAACACTGGGGGTCTCACTGGTTCTTTTTTTCCCCTCCCAGTTTAAAAACTAAAAAAAAATTGTACCATAACTGGAATGAGGTAGAGAGAAGCTGGCTGTTCTGACCAGTACGCCCACCACAGTCACATGGGTCCTGCCATGTAAGGGGTCCTTCCATGTGGATGAGCCCCACACCCAGTGGGTGAACGGAGGCTCAGAGGACATCTCCTCTGGATCCCACTCAGGAACCCCGACCACAGTGCTACAAGTGGGTGGTCCCTTTGGGGAAGGGCAGACTAGAGGGCCCAAGAGAGAGCTGGGCGCTCGTTTACTCCGTCAGATGCTTGGCTTAGCACGTACCTGTACAGGGCAAAACCCAAGCCCCAGGTCAGGAGCCCCCGGGTGGCAGAAGTGCTGTGAGAAAGAACCTGGCAATCTGTTTCTGGAGGGCACAGCCTTGGAAACTCTATGAGCTGTTCTACTCTGCACACCTGGTGTGGCCGTGAGTCGGAACCCACTCGAGGGCAGTGAACGGACCGTCCAGCACCAATCGTGACCAGGCAGTGAGCTGCTTCAGTATAAAGCATGGACTTTTGAGTGCTAACTTTGTCCTTCTGCAGGAAGCCCTCACCCGGAAGTTTGCTCACTGCTATCGCATCCGGACGTTCTAAGGAAGCTTTCGGAAAGCATCCAAGAAGGCGCCGTCTGCGAGCCTCAGGAGTGGCTGGCTTGAGTCTGAATGCAGGGTGCATGGAGTGTTCCCTACTCCCTTCCCACCCTCCGAAGGCACACACGCATGTCCACCACCTACCGTCCTGGATGTGGGCGGGGCCGACGGGCTGGTCAGGGACATGATCTCCTGGATGGCCAGTCGCAGCTTCAGCCGGTGTAGGGGATTGCTGATGCCGATCTCGCGCTGGATCTCCGTGTCTGACAGGGCCGACATGATGGCCCCACTCTTCACGTTCGCCCGGCAAGCGGCCACGTACCAGGCTGGCATCCCCACCCAGAGCTGGAGATAGGCGAGAGACGAAGACCAGAGTGTTAGTTGGCCTGGGCAGTGGGCGCACCAACACTCATGATCTAACGGGTGTGACTAGGTAGGAACACCAGGATATACCTCCAGCCACACAACGACAGTCGGCCCGTCCCACTGTGCAAACGGTAAGCCCTGTCTCCGCGCTTCCTCCAGCAATTCGTGCCTGCAAACAGGAAGAGTCCACATGTCACCTCACTTCTGCACGCATGTGTGAACACAGGGGAACACGAGTATCTCTTTGGAAAGGCCCCCAGCCTGAGAGGATGCTGTCCCCTCCCTTCCTCCGTGTCCAGCTCCATCCACCTGGCGTGCGTCCACGCTGACCAGGAATCCAAGGGAGTCACTCATGGGTGTGCACCGGCAGTCTGAGAGCCTCTTAAGCACAGGGCTTCTCAGCAGGAGTGATGGTGGAACACAGCAGGAAGGAACGAGCGGTCCCTAGTGTGCTCTGCTCTAACACTAACTCGACTCCCTGGGAAGCACTAATGGTTAACGTGACGCTCCTAACTGTAAGGCTGCTCGTTCAAATCCATCCAGAGGCACTTGGGAAGAAAGGCCTTCTGAAAAGACAGCCACGTACAAACCTCCTGGAGCAGAGTTGCACTCTGCCGCAGGAAGTCTCCATGAGACTGTTCAGTTCAAGTGGCATTTGCTCAGTGAAGCCCGGCATGCACTCCCCTAGTGCTTCAATGGGAGGGTCCCCACTGCAGCTGCTGTGCCCAGTGTTGGTAGGCCAGGTCCCAAGGGGGCTCTGGCACCCGTGGGGAGGACAGTGGGTTCACCTGCTCAGACTGGGATGGTACTGCAGGAACATCCTTAAAGACGATTTTACCCACTTGCTCATGTGGTAACACTCCTCACTCGTGTTTACCTACGGCGTATTTGAGTTACAACAAACCACTCGTTTCTTTCGCACGTCTCATCACTAGTAACATGCACTATGTACAAGGTTGCAGTGTGTGGTTTGTCCACGTCAGCACTCTCACCATGGCTGCTAACAGGTGTACTTATAAAGGTAGTGATAACAAGAGTCCCTGTAGAAGGAAGGACACCGTGTTTGGGAAAGTGGCATGTCAGAGGGAAAGAGCAGGAGCCCAGCTGGACAGACGGCTGGTCTGACCCATAGCTTCCGATGGCTGCGTGCCGCACAGAACTGCAGCTCACGCCTCGAGGTCTCCCGAGAGATGGACACCTCCCAGGTGCTTCCTGACTATGGAGGTACCTACCGGTGCTGTCTACGCCACACCCAAGGCACTGTGTAACTGACCCCCAGGCGCTGACCTCAGGGGACAATGAGGCTGATCCAACAGTCAGGACCAGCAATGGGCTTCCGGGTGGGGGGCCGCGCACCGGCACATGTCCACTTGGGCCCATCTCTATTTTACTGAAGCCATGCTTATCAGGGTACTGAGTGGTTTCAGCAAATCCTCAAGCTCTCAGAAGGCGTGGTGGCAGCAGGACACAGAGAGAGGCCCGGGGAGGTCCCTGAATCTGTATGCCAGCAAATGAGAAGTGGGGGTGCTGTGGGGACCCCACGGCTGGTGGGCAGAAAGCAGTGCTGCCTGGCACATCGGCCGTCAGAACTGCACAGACAAGCAGGACGTGCGGCTCTGTCCCAGCCCACATAGCATGTTGTGGGCACGTTAAGCCCTGTCACTTCACATGTGCTCCACATGCTCCTCACAAGACCACAGAAAGGGGGTGTTGCCACGACCCCACCATGCACACAGGGAGACTGAAGCTCAGAGGTGAGAAGGAACTGGGACAAAGCTACCAAGCGAGTTGGCACCAGAGCCAGGACGCAGCCTTGAGCGACCAGCGTTATCTCCTGTTAGTATCTCCCTCGGGGTCAGGCCCATCTGCCACGCACGCACGCACGCACGCACGCACGCACGCACGCAGCCAGGCACGACAGATCAACAGACTTGTGAAGAAGACAACATGATGGAAAGAAAACAGACAAGGAGACAAGAGAGAAAAGAAGCAGCAGCTTACTTTTTTTGAAGTTTACGATTTTTTTCTGCCTGGCCTCCTAATTTGCTGAGTCCCAGGGCGTCTGGAGATGAATTCTCGGTTTCAGAAATTCCGGCTACGAGGAAGGATAAGAGGCCAAACCGCCAGCATGTTAACATGGTGAGCAGGTGGGCAGGAGACTCTGGTCACACACGTTTGAAGTGGAGGGTCAGTAGTACAACAGCAGACCCCCAACGAGACGGACCGACACAGGGGCGGCATCGAGGGTCTCAAGCACAGCAGCGGTTGAGCAGCTGGTACAGGACAGGCAGGGTCGCCATGAGTGGGCGGGCCACCAGAGCTCCTTGTGCAAGGCCAACAGTGTGTCTACAGGTTATTCCTGACCAGATACACCCCGCACAGATCTGCCCAGGAAACAGACACTTTCTGTCCACAGGAAAGGCCGGGCCACTGAACCCTGTCAACCATGACCCCACACCTGTGCCGCCTGTGCCCATGCAGGACGCCCGTGAGAGCAGTGGTCACATCCAGCGCCCACCCTGCCCACCCGGGCTGCTGAGGAGTATAGAGAGACTACCCTACCTGGACCCAGGGCTTCCCTGCCCGCCTGGCCGGGCCGGCCCTTCTCTTTCTTCCCAAACAGGCGGCCGATGGAGGACTTGATGCCCTTCTTCTTCGGAGCTTTGTGGAGCGAGTCCTGACTACTGTTACTACTGCTGGGATTGCTCACGGGGCCGTCCTGGGAGCCTGTGGAGCTGCGGGTGGAAGATGGTGAGCTCGCAACCACGCCCGGCTGAGCTTCATTTGTGAGTCGGGGCAAAGTGCTCATGCTTTTTGGTCTAGTTACTACAGCTCTCTGAGAGTCAGCATCCTAGCTTATTTGATGTTTGAAGACTACTGGCAACTTTCATTTGTCTCTATATCTCTGCGTCCTATTTTGACAAAATAATGACGACTGCAGTAAACAAATCATCCTTCAATAATTTCTGAGACTTTAATTGTACACTGGGACATAACACCTACAGAGCCTGCTGTAAGGAACTGGAGATGACTAGAGGTAGACATTGAATCTCACAGCTACACTGAAAAAACGTCTTCATGGCGTAGGCTTTAACAGGACTGCCAAGTTCCTGAGATGAAAGAACAGTGCGGTCTTGTATTCGGAGCATCTCAGCCCCATGACCTTGGACCTCACAGCTCTGATAATGGCTCTTCCAACTGCAGAGCACACTGCCCAAGTCCCCTTAGCACATCTGCTCCCAGAATGCAGTGTGCACAGGGTAACATGGTCGGGGTGGGGGAGCCCCCTCTCGATGGGCTCTGCTGAGGGGAAGCAGCACCTCCCAGTGCCCGGCCAGCGCTCCCTCAGCCGGAGAGCCCGTTGTCCTGCGCAGCCAGTGGAGCCGCCAGCAGAGGAGCACAGTCTTCCTCTCTGTGGAATGGGTGTGGTGATGATGACAGGTGGGCTCCCCGTCATGTACAGCTGACCCGCCTCCCACACGCAGGGAGCCAGCATGTTAGTGACAGAGCCACCTCAGGGACACTGACCGGCCAGCACCAGAGCAGCCAGACTCACGATGCGGTCAAGAAGTAAGGTTTCTCTAGACTCGCTGACACAGGGACACCCATGGGTCTTGAGAGGTTTCTGCCTTTAGCAGAGCGTGACCACATTACGGTTCCATCTCTGGAGTCTGCCTTCTCTGACCGCCTGGCCCCCTGACACAGGTTCTGACAGCTGCCCAGAGCCAGTGCATGCCCATCCTCCCTGAACACCTCCCTCAGGTCAGGGGTGGTCATGCTCCTTACTTCCGGATGTCCTCGTGGCTGACCGTGTGTAGCCTGTCCAGCCGGAGTGATCGCGGGGAGGAGGGTGGGGATGTTTCACATTTTATTGTCGTCTTGTCGTCTCGTACCTCTTCTCGGGAAGCTGGCAGCTGCGGGGTGAGAGGAGAGGGGTGAGGTGAGGATCTGTGAGTGAGCCCTGGGTCCGGGCTGCCTCCCTCTCCTCTGCCTTGGGCCGCCCCTCACAGTACTCGGCACCACCCCCCTGGAGTCCTGAGCCTTGAGGACACGTCAGAATGACAAGTGCCTGAAGACCCGCTCGTCCTCGGTCTCTCACTAATTCAGAGCTGAGAACAGTCTCCTTCAGCTATGGGGTGCCAACGAGCCGGCTCTGACTCAGTGACCCCACGGAACACAGGGTTTGGAACGTGCTCACCTCGATGGGCGCACACCGCAGCTGGTGGGCTTCAAGTGCCAACCTTTCAGTTAGCCAATGTGCCACTGAGTCAGTTCCGACCCATAGCAACCCTGTACAGCGTTTCTGAGGAGGAGCTGGTGGATTTGAACCGCTGAACCACCAGCCTTGTGGTTCTCAGTCCAGTGCTGATCTTATAGCATCACACCAAGGTGCCACTTTTTGTTGTTACTAAGTGTCGTCGAGGGAGTCCTGGTGTGGCGCTTGTGGGTTAATGCACCAGACTGCAAAGCCGTTTGTACTGCAAGGTTGGCGGTTCAAGCTCACCAGCTACTCCTCGAAAACCCTATACAGGGTTGCTATGGGTCAGAACCAACTCGACGGCACTTTACAACAACAAGTGCCGTTGAGAGTCAGGGCGTAGGATCGCCAAGGTCTCCTTAATAGAAACACTACTACAGGGGGCGACCACCTCTGGGGACAAATGGTCCACATTGTCTTGTCTGGGAAAAAGAAGTACTTGAGTCAGGACCTAATACCCTTTCTGGCAGCCCTTCAGACTTTGGAGTTGACGACAAGAAATGAGCGAAGGTCCCTGACCCACTCAGGGTGGGAGCTGTGGACCGACATGCTCTATCTGCAGCTTAAGCACGTTTTGCGGCACGCGGCTGTGAGGAGCCCAGCACTGCGGTCCACTGGCGGGCTCCCTTTCAGTAAAGGAACATGGCTGTGCTAAGTGTGATGGCAGGAAGTGAGCTGCGCAGACTGAGTGGGGTTCTAAGGGGGTCCTGACAGGGTCCTGCAGAGACCATCAATCCGATCGCAGCGCCAGGATAAGCGGCAGGTACAATGCACAGTGGAGCTGTGTGCGGTAAGACTCCAGTCTAAGCGAGAGCTAGACACATTGTCTCCTCTCCTGTTTTGGAATTGCAACGATCTGACAGGAAAAGACTCTAGTGGCCAGGAGTGATGACTATGACGCTCCACAGGGATGGATTTTGGAGCAGGGGAGGGGGCAGGCCCTGGGTCAGGTGCACTGACTACGCTGTAAAGAGCCACCAGCGCTCTGTCCACCTGCCACAGCCCAGCGCTCACACGCCAAGCTGGGCTACGTCCTGGTGGCCTCTGCTGGAACTGGGGTGCCGTGTCGGGGTGCGTCAGTTAATACTGAAGCCCTGCTGGACGCTCCATGCACACACACACACAGTTCAACCCACATATCAGGCCCAGAACATGGCTTCCTCTAAAGAAACACAGCCCAGCTGAGGCGCTTCACGGCAGCCACGTGAGAAAGCATGCCGTCACCTCCTTCATTTAACCGGCAAGCAAGCAAGCTGGGGGCCCTGGTCACTCACACACCAGAGCTGGGCTGGGACAGGCTAGGATGGAAGTAGAGAGAGGCAGCAGGGACTGTGGTCCCATAAGGAACAGCCACGAATCAGACCTGTGCCTTGTGCAGCATGCTTCCTCCAAGAACAGGGGCCTGAATAATGGAGGGGCCTGGCCCCGCCCCCCATCAGGGAAGTTCTAAGGCGGCTGGAGGTGACGCAGCGACACGCAGCCTGTGAGTGCTGAGCCCTGGCCGCACTGCGCTGCATGCTCGCTGTGTGGCCTCGGCATGTCTGTGAGGAGCCACTCTCAGCTGCGGCCTGGCCTGCAGTCAGAGGGATAAACACGAGCTTTGATGAAGAGGATGACTACAGTGGGGCTTCTCCAAATCCAAAGGTGATAGCTCTGGCTTTAATAACGTCTCAGACTTAAAACTACACCTGCTCTCAGTGACACACAATGCTGTTGTTAAGTGCCATCGAGTCAGTTCTGACTCACAGCGATCCCGTATAGGGTTTCCGAGGAGTGGCTGGTGAGTTTGAACCACCGACCTTGCTGCTCAAACAGACCTAGAGGTCGAGTACTTACCCTATGACACCACACCAGGGGTCTACAACAGAAGGCAAAAAAGCAAGAGCAAGGCAAATTCTTAAGTTTGTCCCAATTTTCTCTGAAAACGGATAATCGCCAGCATCCATCATCACACATTTTCAGGAAAATTGCAATGATTCATTATTCTCTAACAGCACAGTGTGACCCCTGGGGAATTTGCACTTCTCATTACATTCTGAAGAAACAAACGTATCTTAGGTACAGAACAGTTTACCTTTCTACGGTGCTTCCTTAAATCGCTAGGCTGAGAGACGCATGCAGAGAGAGAGAGAGAGAGAGAGACCAGATTTACTGCGGACCCAGATATTCACAATGTAGTGATCGGCACACACAAAACATTACAGTGGGAACGACAGGTTAGACATCAGTGAGATCAGATCTAGAAACGTAGTGTAAATATTTTCCCATCCCTCATGTGAACTGTAACATCAATCTAAGACTGTAGGCCTCCCCCACAGACACCCGTTCCTACTATGTACTGTTTATTAAAACATGGCACTCTATAAACAAAGGGTGCTAAGAATTGTCTATTTTAGGGAAAACCTCTCTGCAGCATGGTGGTAGTGGTGGGCTGTGGAGTCGGTTCCGGCTCATGAGTTTCTGAGGCTGTAAACCTTTACAGGAGCAGAAAGCCTCATCATTCTCCCGGGGAACAGCTGGTGGTTTCAAACTAGTGACCTTGAGGTTACCAGTCGGACTTGTAACCACTACGCTACCACGACTACTAAATGATAAACATGTCAGACTTTAAAAAACAAAACCACCTTACCGAGGGAATGTGATTGGAGTACCTATTATACAATGTTACAAACCTGTACTTAGTCACTTACCGACTTACTGGACATTAACGTAACATCCTCACTTAGAACTTGATCTACAATGTCTCAAAAATAAACGGTATCAAACCCAAAAAATACAGGAGACCAAAACCTAGCCTACTAGCGAGCAGGTGGTGGTGGTACAAATCCACAATTCACGGGAGGTATTTCCACAGAAGGAAACTAGCCTCAGACATTATGCTGTGCATTTCCAAGTAACGGACTGAGCCATGGGAATGCGAGCAACCTAACGAGAAGGCTGACTAGTCAGCCTGTGTGCTTCTTCCATAACCCTGCTGTGCGGGCGGCTCTGAGCTCTGAGCAGGAAAGAGTTCACCTACGAAGCCCACGGCTGCTCCACAGTGGGCCTAGACAGCCGGAGAATGCTTCGACGTACCTGTGCCTGCAGCCACTGGACAGACACAAGCACCGCACATGGACGCTCTCCCCTCCCCGACCCCCCCATCTTTTGTTCTGAGAAACGAAGTCTGAGCAGAAGAAAAAATACCAAAACCAAAAGCCACAAATGAAGCCACTCTACCCGAGACCCCCACCCCACCCCAGTGCACAGCTGGGAGGAGGCGCGTGGTTGAATGCGTACTCAGAGGACCTGGGCCAAGCGCGGGTGGGGCGCCCCTCCTGGGCACCATCTCAGTGACACCAGGCCTGCCCTGTGCTCCTTTACGCTTGTCAGACCATCTATTCCTGGAAACCAAATACCCAGCCGGCTGCTGCTGGCTCAATTCCGAGGGTTTCCAGGGCTATCACCTTTACAGCTGTTGGTGGATCAAACCACCGACCTTCTGGTTCACAGCGCAGTGCTTAATCAGACGGCACCAGGACTCCCTGTCTATTTCCAGAGACCAGAGACACTCCCCCTGCTGGCTGCTGACAGGGCCCACAGTCACACTCACTGGCCATGGCAGGATCTCAGTGGAATTGGCAACGCACTACTTGCTGAGTGATGGGTGGCAGGTGCTTACCAGGGTCATGATGCCCAGCCGGTCTACCTCCCGGGCTGGACTCTGGGGGATCCGTCTTGGGGTGGAGCGACCACTGCCTGGAGGGGAGGCAGCGGGGTGTGGGGGGATGGAGCTCATGGATCTGAAACGACCCAGGTCACTCAGACTCCCACTCCCGACTCTGCTCTCGATCTCCTCAGCCCGCTGCTCAGCACTTTCCTTCTCTTCCTGGATCAACCTGCAATGAAGCAGCGACAGGTGTGTCAGTCTTGCGCACCTGCGGGGACCTGGAACCCTGGCCCCCCTTGCTGTTCCTGGTGTAGCACCCAACGTGTCGCCAGGATTCTGAACCCGAAGGAAATCCCAGCCAGCCTGGATGAGAGCGGAGACCAACGTACATGAAGTCTCCTTCCTAAGCACCAGAGACTTCCATCACCTAGAGCGAGCAAAGGCTACCAAGCTCTTCAGCTTCAACACAACCAAAGACTTCACCCAAGGGTGCAAGTCGTGAGACAACATGAAAAGGCTGGGGTGGTTTTGGGTTAAGCATTTTAAATTTAAATACCTTGAGCCCCACCTGGCTTTCCAGACTCAGGCTGGCTGGGCCATAAGTGTGAACAGTTTTCCCCCAGGAGTAATTGATGACACACCCCAAACCAAGCGCAAGGCCACTGCCATCGAGCCATGCCGACTCAGGGCTGGAGTCCTGGGGTGGCACCGTTCGATCAGCACTGGCTGCTTACCACAAGGTTAGCAGTTCAAACCCACCAGCTAGTCCTTGAAAACACCATACAGGGATGCTCTGAGTCAGGGCTGAATTGAAGGCACTTAACAACAAGCCTTTACAGGAATAGACAGCTTCACCTTTCTCCTGGGGACTGGTGGGTGGGTTTGAATTGCTGACCTTATGGTTAGCAGTCCTGTGCTTTCCCTACCAGAGCTCCTTAATGATGCTGTTGTTAAGTGCAGCAGTTTGAAACTACCATAATGATGACATAGCAGTTTAAATATTATGACTGCGCCGATCATAACGATTCTAATAGTTAAGTTCTGGAACCCAGTGGTAACCTTCCCATAAAGTTCTACTTACATCTCCTACGGGTGCTTTGTTGTTACTGACAGGACAAGAAGCCTAACCGTCCATTTACACTAGTTTAACTTGTTGCATAAGGAAAAACCACTTTTAAGTAGCAACACACTTGTAAACATTAAAAAATACATGTAGATTATGTTCTAACATGCATATTCTCAAAATGACAAGGGCTCCCTTTTCAAATGTGTTTAAGGACAGCAGATGAGAAGTCGGAGGGGTGAGGCCAAAAAACTCAGGCAGTGGATCTATCTGCGTTCACTTCAAACCTACAGCTCTGTGTCCCGCTCACCTTTCCTCCCTCACAAAGGTCCCTAGCAAGCTGGGGAGAGTCCAGCCGCCCACGTCAGCTACCTGGGACCTGCCGAGCACACGGCCATGGCACTAGCTGGGCTCTAGTGCGACACCCGTCATCCTCTGGCCTTCCCCTTCAGGGACTGCCCGCTTTAATGGCTGACGTGCTTTCTAAAGCAAAGAGCTCAAGTGTCATGTGAGGAAAAAGACTCCGAGACACCCAGTTCTCAGTCTCTTCCAGACTCTGGGCTCTGGGTCAGGGCGTCCGCCTGCCAATAAGGCCTCTGTCCCAGCATGCTCTCTTCTCACCGCTCATTCAAGGCACTGAGCTCCCCGCTGGGGCTCTCACTCCAGGCCCATGATAGCTGAGTCTGATGAGTCCAGACTTGGAATGGTCACACAAAATTCAAGGACTGGACTTGTACGTGAGTCACGTATGCCACGCTCGGCAGGTATGTGCATCATGTGCGGGTACACGGCTCAGGATTTAGGACATTCGCCCTCTCTCCCTTGTATGCGTGCTGAGAGCGGCCCCACCTACCTGATCTCTTTGTTGATGGCATCCAGCTGTTCCTGAAGCATCATGGCCAGCGTCTGGGCGTCTGCCTGCCCACTGGGCGACAGGAGGTCCACTGAGCTGAAGAGTGCATCCCTGTCGTCTTCCCCGTCGGACACATCCACGTCACTCTCAAACGCCTGCGCGACGTTGGCCAGCACACTCGCTTGCTGGGCGCGTTCCCAGTCCTGTTCGTTGAGTGTCTGTACCTACCCACAAGAAAACCAGGTCTTCGCAAAACGGAAAGGCAGCACCAGCCCTGGGAACCAAAGTTTACCAGAAACTTCCTAAAGGCTTACATGCAAGTCTGAGAAATTCTGGAAAAATGGGCTATGGTGACAAGCTGGTGACACTACTAAGCAACGGCTATTGATGGCGGGAAGGACTATAAAGCTTCTGTGAGCCTGCTGTGTAACCTCAATGTCTCCATGTGGACACAAGGCAAACACAGATACGCCACCCACAGCCACACTCAGGGGGAATTTAAGAACAGTCACAAAATCTTCATCAGTTGAGTTGTCAAACACAGTAATGGTTGTGAGGACCCGGCTGCTGCGTTTTGTTCCACATGGGGTTGCTCTGAGTGGCAGCTGACTCGATGGCACCTAAGCACAGCCGCAGCATTTACACATATCATCAAATAATATGTAACTACTCTGAGCTTCAAAGGCCTTCCTTCTCTGAGGCTGCTACTAACAAGCACTGAAAAGGCAAAAACTGGCAGCAAACAGGAAACTCTCCATGTCCTGATGAGGTTCGTAGACTAACGCGCCCTCGTGTGCTCCTACAGAAACTGCATGTGTGAGGGCTATAGAATCCGCTCTCCTTCCAGGGGGTTCGTGCCTGCTCCCCTTCTTCTAGCCTACCTATCTTCACTATCAGAGGACGACATGCTCCACAGCTCAGAGGAGAGGCTCTCAATCTGCCCTCCGCCCCCCTGCCCAAGGATGACCGACGAGGGCCAGGACCTCATTCCACCTGCCCTCCTGTCCTTGGGAAGACAGACTCCCCCTCTGAGCTCCACTGAGTGCCACCAAACAGCTGCCCACAGCCTGCCAACCCCCACACCCCCAGACCCCCCGAGCGCCCTTCGGCACGATCGGCTGTGGAAATCTCCCACAGTCTATGGCACCACACTCACTGACCACTTCACACGGAAGTCTCCCAGGCCCCACGGCACCACAAGCAGTGACCACTTCACGCCACTACAGGTGCTAACCACTTCCTTGGCCTAACACCAGGCTCAGGCTCTCTGCCCTTCCCATCCTCTGAAGCATCCAGATCCCTTGGCTCCAGACCCCACTGGCTCCTGGTCTCCTCCGACCTCACTGGCCCAGTCTCTCTCCCTTTCCACCTGCCCCAATCTGGGACCTTGTTTCCACAACCAGGCACCCATATGGTGCCTGATAAGCATAAGCCATATGCTTACGACTCCTGAGCTTTGGTTTCCAGCCTGAATTTCTCACTTGGGGCCCAGACTGGAACACCCACCTGTGCTCAAACACCTGGCAGGCATGTCAGCTGTGACCCAGTCAAAGCTAAGCCTGCCTCCCCAGCTTGCAGTTTTCCTAAGTTTAGATAGCAGACTCCCCCAGCCCCAACTTCCAGGGGCTCAGTCTCAAGCCCAAGCTATCATGGCTCTTCATTCTTTTTCACGTCACACCCAACCCATCAGCCAAACTCAATGGCTCTACCTGACCGCACAGCCACGATCCAATCACCTTTCCCGAAGTGCACACTCCCTCCCATGCAGCCCTTTCAGGCTCGTCAGACTGTGAGCCTCGGAGCAACCCTCCAACAGCTTTCCATAGTGTTTGGAGGGAAGCTGACTCCTCACATGGCTGCTGCCACAACGGTGCTCTTTGTATGGTTGTTTTAAAATATGCCCTGAAAGTGCACTTTGGGCAGTAAGGCCCCCGAGGACTGGAGCCCTTGCCTTGGACGGCTCGTCTCGCAGAGCAGCCAGGCGGCCTTTCTGGGTGCGCCGCAGCACCGAGCCTGTGGTGCAGCCATCCATGTGGCTATCCGCCACGGGGAACCGGAAGTCTGGGACACTGCCCAAGTGCGGCCGGCTGAAAGGAGAAGACAAAAGAAGGGCTGTTATTGGAAGAGAGCAAATTCATGTTATTAGCCAAGCTGGAACAGAGCAATCTGGTAAATACGGATTTTCTGGTGCAGTTCTGCACTCCTAGCTGACGGAGCCATACAGTCTCCTCGGGCCAGAGCCCAGGGCGGACTGACAGCTGCCCGGGCAGAAGAGGATGGAGAGCCACCTGGTCCTACATTGGCCTTACAGTGTCAATGGCTGACCAGGAAACCCAAGTGGACAACGCAGGAATCTGCTCTGCCTCTACGTGTTCCACCAGCTGGGAATGCCGTCTAAGGGGCTGCTGGGGGCACCATGGGGACCACTGCAGACACGCTCTGAGCCACAGACTGGCCTCCTATCTGGAGTTGCTGACTCTAGAGAACACCTGTGTGCCGCCTGGAGGAGGAGCCCAGGTAGGGACCTGTTGGTGGCGGTGAAGCAACTCAGTCCCAGCCACGGGCACCTTCCCTCCTCAGTCCTGCTCCTGCAGCACTTTTGGTCCACGCACCCCTCCTGGTTCTCCAGGAAAGAAGGCCTCAGACCCCAGGGCAGGAACGCTGCTGGTTGGGTTCGGTGCAGTGAAGCAGGACTCCGTGCTCCAGCCCACTCCAGCTGCAGACACAGCCTACCACCCACTTTGTGTCCAACCAGGAAGTACATGTGCACCAAGAACAAGAACAGAAGGTCTTCGTGACGCTTTCTATTAATTGTTGTGAGAGACCTGTTTCCACTTGGACCGTCAGAGATCCCCCTCTTCACTAATGAAATGTCTTGTTTGTTCTCAGCACTGTCTCTAGTGTGATGGATTTGGGGTTCCATCACGTTGCGTGTGGGGGTTCCTGTGGCCTCCCAAGAGTGACAACCTGTCCAGCCATTTTGGGCCCCCAGGCTGGAGTCGCTCCCTTCTCCTGCGCACCTCTACCTGCCCTAGCTGGTCCCATCTACCTGTGGACGTCCACTTATCTATCGCCCCTCTCTCCCTCCTCAATGGAGGCTGTCACAAAACAAGACAACTTGCTTCACCGTGGAGTCACGTACAACGAGCTGAGAGCGTCCCTCCCTCTTAAAGTTCTGTGACATGCAACGTACTTCATCCTGCCTCTTTCCACTGCCCTTCTCCTGAGCCACCCTGGTGACCAGGGCCTCCGGCCTGCCTCTCCTCACCAGGCCCACCCGCTCCCGCCTCCTGGGGCTACCGGAGCAGCACCCCTGGCTGAAATTCAGGCTTGTACTCTGCCCCATCTTCACACATCTTTCTGCCATAACTGGACTGCACTGTGAGCTTACGGCACCATCTCTCTGCTCCCCTTGCGACCAAAACTCCCAAGCGCAGTGTACACCTATGCATCACGCCCACGTCCTCTCCGCTCCTCCTTCCTTGTACCTCACTGAGCGAGCAGCGGGTGCTTCCGCCAGGCTAACAACACTAGTCCCTTGTCACAAAATCGAGCCACTCTGTCTTCGTCACCCCCCTCCTGCCACTTCCCTGTCCTCCTCTTGCTTTCAGCACAGACAGCCACAAGAGCTTCAGAATAGCCCGAATGAGTACATGCATGGATGTCGTACAGGCCCTGAACTTTCTCCTACACCAGACTAAGATCACTATTCAACCACTTCACCAAGGTCTCCTCAAGTTCACCTCTCACTCGATGACACTTGTCCACAAAGGAGAAAAACTAACGGTGTGACGCAAACAACTGCCTCCCGTAGTGTGAGTCAGCAGCTGAGGGCTTTTCATGCTGGGCACCTGCTCGAATCCTACAGCAGCCCACCCACGTGGAAAATCTTGTGTGGGCAAATGTGCGCAGGACTCCAGGCCACGAGTCCGTGACGGTCAAGGTAGGCCTTCACAGCTGAGCTGGGTCGCCTCCCTGGGCAGACTCCCCAGCCTGTGAGGGTGACTGTCACTCACCTACTCCGCCCACACACCCAAATTGTCATTGCTGATTCTCCACTTTCTGCTCCCTGGGCCTCCTGAGGCCTGCAGAGACGAGGCGCTCTTCCACCTCCAGACAAAGGCTCCCTCTCGCCTTCTGTCTGCTCCTCCTGGACAGGCTGAGCCACGAGCAGTCAGGCCAAGTGTTACAAGGATAGGCCCTGAGGACCCTGAGGAGATGCACATACCCGTGGTGAAGTGGAGCACCCCGCAGTCTCATCTGGTCTAGTTCAGCCCTCAGTGCTTCAATGTTTACTACGAGCTGATCCTGCAAAACAGCCAACGACAGATATTTGCAGCCACCTTGGTCATGTGCACCACACGAAAGCAGTCATCACACCACATGTTCCTGGGAACACTTTCTGCACGCAGACCACCCAATTCAGCTCTTGTGAGCCACAGAGGACGAGGAGCTGCACGCTGATCAGAGAACACCCCAACAAATACTACGCTTTGGTAGAGGGGAGCTGGGCGTCTCTGCAGTGTGTGTGTATAAACAACACCCACTTTCCACTGGACGCACTTACCCATGGGTTTTACACCATCTCAAAATCAACAGCATTCACTTATACTTGCAGGTGTGATCTGATTTCTGCTCATGGCAAAATGAGTGAAACATAGAGAGCATTTAGTCACCAGAACCTTCTAGAGATGTGCTCTCTAAACTAGGATGCAGAAAACTCTATGGCATCAAAAGATTTCCATATTAGGAGAAAGAAGTCACACGGCTCATTGCTGTTTTGTTATTGGAGCTATAGGAAAGCATAATGCGCTGAAGAGGCTGGAGCTAAAAGAAACAAGTCTCACCTGCTCCATTGCACGCCTACAGTGTGGCCTCTAGACACCTGAAGTCACAGCCTGTGAGCCAGCACTGTGCTTTGCTACATGAAGATTCGTGCTAACGGCTTCACTTCTCATGAACCCAGGACTCGGAACCCTAGACCTGGCGCCTGCCACTTTCCCATAACACATCCAGAATAAAACAGGTCCCTCACACAAACCTTGTTGTTGTCGTTAAGCACCGTGGAGTCGATTATGACTCACAGTGGTCCTGTAAAGGGTTTCCTAGGAGCAGCTGGTGAGTCTGAACCACCAACCTTGCGATTCAAACAAGTGCTTATTGTACAGCGCCATATGTACAAACCCAAGGCGCTAAAAATCTTACATCAGCACGGTACAAAGGGTAGCAAGTGTGAGCAAGCCCCCCCCACCCCCCAGCATCTCCAGGAATTACACTTGTGACAAACACGTCACTCAGTTCCCGAAGCGTTTGAAAAGCCGCAGTACCTTGTCGTGTTGCGTTTCTTCTAATTGCTTTTTTGCACTTTCAACTTCTCGTAACAGAGAATTCTGGAAGAGATACAGGGTGTCAGTGCCGATGCTTTAGAAATGTCCCTTGGTAAAAGGACAAAGTTGCCTTTCTGATTTTTGGTGGTTTGTAAATTACCCTAGAACAGGGACAGGCCATAGCAGAGCCAAACAGCCGAGGAGGGTGTAGGGACGAGGTCCTAGTAACAACATATCGTTTCTCGTCTCCAAATAAAATTTACTTCTAAATGTTCTAATTAAGACATGTCCCACTCATGGTACCAAAATCAAAAACAACCGATGCCATTTTGTTGATTCCAAATCACACAGACCCTGTAGCTGGGCCACTGGGTTTCCACTGGCTGTCATGAGCCCTTGGGATACAATATGCCAAGCACTGGACTGTTAACCAAAAGGTCAGCAGCTTTTTGGAACCCACTAATTGCTCTGTGGCAATCGGCTTCCGTCGTGAAGATGACAGCCTAGGAAACTCTATGGAACAGTAATATTCTGTCAGAACCAACCCAGAGGCTGTGCTCTGGTTGGTCTATAAGGAAGCAGACTGCCACGTCTTCCTCTCATGGTTGGCCGGTGGACTTGAAACCACAGACTTCAAACAACTGTTCCACCAGAGCATCTGTTTCATGGTGAAATGACTCAGCCAGTCAACTACTTTCACCTTAAGTCTTGCAGCTCACTGAACACTCGGGAAACCTGAAACGGAGTTTCCATGGGCATTCAAATCTCAGAAATGTATTCCAACTTGAAGTTTAGTTGGCTGCTGGATGAGGAAAACAAGAGTCACGGAGGTCTGTGGTGATGTCAGCAGTGTATGTCACGTGGGTTGTGAGATAATTGAACCAACTTAGACAACAGTCACTGGGGTCTGTGGCGATCTAAGTAGGGTGTGTCATGTGGGTTCTGAGATAAAGTAATCAGCTCAGACAAGAGTCACAGAGGTCTGTGGTGACGAGGTCTGTGGTGATGTCAGCAGTGTCACGTGGGTTCTGAGATAAAGGAACCAGATCAGACAAGAGTCACCGTGGTCTGTGGTGACGTCACCAGTGTGTCACGTGGGTTCTGTGATAAATGAACCAGCTCAGACAAGTCACGGAGGTCTGTGGTGACGTCAGCAGTGTGTGTCACGTGGGTTCTGAGATAAAGGAACCAGTTCTGACAAGAGTCACTGGGGTCTGTGGTGACGTCAGCAGTGTGTGTCACGTGGGCTCTGAGATAAAGGAACCAG